GGGAAATACACACACAGGCACGTTGTTAACCAGCTAGCAGGGGACGCAACGAGCACAGACTTTGCACAGCAAAACAACATGAGCAGAAACATACTAATAAGCACACAGGCGGATCGCGGGCAGTTTCGAATTCTCCATCACAATTAAAACAGTAGCACCCTCACACATACCCACACATACGTAAACATGCGTGCGCGTGCACACACACACACACACGCACACACACACACACACACACACACACACACACACACACACACACACACACACACACACACACACACACACACACACACACGCACACACACGCACACACGCACACACGCACACAATGATCCCGCTGGGGACGACACGCTGACGTCGGAAGCATCACGTAACGATAATACATTATACAAAACTTTACTTTAATGTATATTGCGTATAAACAACAAAATTGCACAGTACATCTACTTGACGTACAATTTATCTTTAATGCTTTAAGGAAATAATCATGAGTAAAATATTATTAATTTATTCAGGATGCAATATGAATTATGCAACATAAAATCTTACAAATCGACACTTACAAAATAGTTACATTGTCATGCAGCACAATACACCACACCACGGCACACGTGCTGCTAAAAGCCGGTAAGCTGGTCTAGTTTGCTGTCTTTCCTAGATGTTTGCTGATCTGCTGTTTTGCCTATCAGCTGCTGATCTGCTGCCCGGCCATGATCTGCTTTATGATGCAAACAAAAGAAGACTGCACAAGCACGTCGCATGCGGCACAACCACAAAAACCCACAACAGACAACAGCGCTTTACAACCAACTAACGAACAAGACGTAACGCCCTGCAAAACTGTACAATGACGTACATAAGGCAACGTCAACAAGGAAATGCACAGAACAGACAAGGGATGCGTTTAACTAGCGCGTGACGCACCGGAGGTACGACAAACCGTGACGTGGAAACGCGGAAAGCTGACGGCGAGATGCCGACGGCGAGGCGGCCGACGGCGAGGCGGCCGACGGCGAGGCGGCTGACGGCGAGGCGGCCGACGGCGAGTCGGCCGACGTAAGTCCTCGCCCAGGCTCGCTCAGACCGGCGGGGGGATCAGGCGGGAGGTGGGCAGGGAAATACACACACAGGCACGTTGTTAACCAGCTAGCAGGGGACGCAACGAGCACAGACTTTGCACAGCAAAACAACATGAGCAGCTGCGCACAAAATGCAGAAACGTACTAATACGCACACGGGCACATCGCGGGCAGTTGGGAATTCTCCATCACAAGTAAAAACAGTAGCACCCTCACACATACACATACGTATACGCGTGCGCGCATGCACACACACATACACCCTCTTACACACACCTACATACACTTACACACGCACACGCGCGCGCGTGAGTACATTCTCGCCCACATTTGAACAGATACATACATACATACAAACATACATACAATTGCGCACAAATACAAGCCACTGAACACCGCAACAATAACCACCGGCCGGCTTTGCAGCTTCTATCTGTGTTTGCTGACCTTATCTTTGCAGTTTGCTGCCTTTGTGCTTTTGCTGTCGCTGTTGCTGTTGCTGCTTGCCGGCACAACAGGAGAAAAACACCGCGCCACGAAACACCCACAGCAAGAAACTTTGCTCCGAACGTATGTACGACAACACTACATCACGAACGGACACAAAGTGGCACCCACGCAGTGAACATACGGGGAAAGACCTTCATGCCGTACTCCCTACACGCCGCACCTTACCAAGGTACAACAATTTCATACCGAAATCCCCCTCCGTCACCAACTCGTCTATCCATGTGCAACGCGCCTTCACCCATAGAATCCAAGAACGATGGCCGACCTTGATACGACGTGTAACGGCCTCACGACCGGAAATCTAGGCGCGTTCTAACTAACCTACGACATGTACGGACGACCGTGCATCCGGCGTCACTCACCAGCAGCGGAAGACGATGTGAGCTTGACTGCGTTGATTAGAAGCGTTGACAATGGGGGCCCTTGCTTCACGCCGACGCAACATCGCACTGGGGTCTTGGAGAGTTGAAATGTGGTGTACGCAGAGATTCTCGTTGCCAGGTGGAATGCGGTCGATCTTGAAGGTCTTGGGCAACTCCAATGAGCAGTCGTCTCTGTCGCGAGGAAGGTCACGGACATCGGACGAAGTGGTCATGTCTCGCCTAACGACGTGTACTTTCCTGCCAGACCGCCAAGCTTTCAGCCTTCGTAGGCTCCTTACACAGCTAAAGCACAACTGTCGGAATTACGCTCAAACGCCGCATACGCCCATATTCTTGCAGCAGAGCGCTGCACAAACACATGCCCGTCGAAAGCCCGTCGACAAAGCCCCTTATGTTTCAAAGATCCATACACAAGCTCGAGAAGCAAGCATCTCACCTCAAAAAAATGAGTTGCCGCAAGTCGCACCTTGCCCTCACAAATGAGTCAGGCAAGTCGATGTCCGTGAAGCGGCGACGCTGTGCCTGAAGCAACGTCAGCAGGGGTTCAATAAATAAATGCTTGAGATAACCGCGTAATAAATTAGAGCAATGGAACTGAAGTGCGGCGGCTACAGCATGAAGGTTTTGCAACGAACAGTACCTTGCAAACGTTTGCAGGGTCCACAGCAGCTTCTCAGGGCGCCGCGCAGCTGTTCAGGCTTCCTCATTTGCTGGTCATATGTAGGAAGCTTGCAGCTTTTACGGACGCACCAGAGCTGGAACAGGCCGAAAAAAAGGGCTCAAACGTTGGGTGAAAGCCTGTGATCAAATATCGGACGTTGTGCACATTTGCTAATGGAGCTGGAAGTGCTATGGGAGGTGCCTTTTGTCAGAGGCCAGCAAAATTGTACGGCGTCCGGTAAAGCTGCGCAACAGCTGCAAATCCAAGTGTGTTGGAAAGGTGCAGTTCGGCGAACTCACTTTGTCGACAGTTAGCCTATTAAACTTTTATATTATAGCTGTATGTCACTGCATTATCACGTTCACCTCCGTTCCTCTGCACCTGGTTACGTCCTCCCGGAAGCAAGATCCCTAAGTGCAAGCCCTTGCAAACAACAGGTCAAGTCATCATGAAGGCCGTTGCTTCATTTTTGCTTATGTGGCATAGCGGGCGATTGGCGTAATCTGCCCATGGCGGAAGTGCCAAGAGCTATTGATACAGCGTTATGGTGCTTGAAGTTCTTCTTGAGTATCTAAGGTGCTTTAAGTCACGTTTGCTTACAAAAGGAACTGCGGCCCGAACAAGGGCGCCATGGAACTATCATGGGGGGCTTTCCTTTGACAGGGCTAAGCCATCCGTAGCTTCTTCTTTCGAGGTCATCCATCGATGCACCATCATTGTCACCCAGCACTGCTGTGAGCAGCGAGATCGTGCGCCGCCCAGCTCCCTATCACCCTATATCTCTCCCGTTCACCCTCGCCTGTTAGCCCCTTCCCGCCACATTTCCGTTCCCTATCACTTGTTGCCACTAGGGGCACTTTTACCTTGAACCATCGGAAGGATTTTCAACCCTAACAAGTTACAAGTTCCACACTTGCGTGCGGAACCCGCACTTGCGTGCGGGTGTGTCCGTAAAAGCCGGGGGTCCATGGATGTTATATTAGTAGTATTGATGCGGGTACACAAGTGGTGCTCGGTGCCATAACCATGCCCAAACCCAGCCTGGCTACCGGTGCGTAGCCTGTTGCCCTCACAGTAATTGATAAGTCGCCTCCCGATGATATTGCGTAATGTTTGCATAGTGGGCCCCCAACCGCAATGCCCCGATAACTGTCGCAGCAGGACGCGTCCCCCTTTTTGTATACGGGGAAAAGGGTGCTAGTCGTGAATAAGTCGTGAATAATCAGCTCGCGGATATTCAGCTCCATATATGCGGTTGCATAGCACCGTTAAGTAAGGCGCCAACACAAACACGGGCCGCTGCCCTTCACTCTCCCTGATAGCGTACCTATAATACTCGGCCGGGGTTCCCTCCAGGCCCACGGACAGGCTATGTTGCGCATAGCGTTGAGACCGCTAACAATTTCGCCCTCCGTAAAATCCTTGTTAAGCCAAGCAGCTAATTCCCGTCGGTGCATCACCCGGTCCTCATCCTGCCATTTATTCTGTATACCCTCGTTTGCAGCCTTGCCTCACGCTTCCCGCACCCTTAAGCACCTTGGAAAAATGCTCGGTAAAAGCATTAATATCTGAGATCCAGCAATCAGGCGGTTTTCCCCCACGCAGCCATGTCCACAAGCCGCGTGGGTTGGACAACGTGGCCTTAATCGCCCTCCGCATATTTTCCAATTCGGTCTCCTGAATAGCTGCCTTCCTAGTAGCCTTCTTAAAGACACGATGCTTGGCCTTCCAGGTAGCCCTATGAATGTCCGGCAGCTTGCCCGAGACGGGGTCTCTGGCTCCTTACGGAAACTCATCATATCATTCCGCACAGCGGCACAGTCCTCGTTCCACCAGTCACGCTTCACAAAATTCACCTTTCCCCATGCGACGCCGAACATCTCCCTAGCACACGTCCCGATTAGGGTGCGCAAGTCATTCATGCTTTCATCACAAGAGGCCCCTTCTCCTTGAGTTATCCTGTCCTCCCCACCTTACACACACACAGACACACGCACGCACACACAAGCACCCTCTCTCTTCCCAACGCATCCACCCACCTTGTTCACAGCCACCCTTCGCCCCTTCTCCCCCCCAAGCACACACACACACACACACACACACACAGGTACATGAGCGTCTACTCATGTACCTGTAACACGGCTCGTTCCACAGGCGGCCGTACCCCCATGATGCGGCAGTGCAGAGCGTCGCAAACTTGGTTGGTTTACATCGCAGTGAACCGGATGCGGAGACAGTAGAGCTCTTTGGCCGGTAGAGCTCTTTGGTCAACCGTAATCTATGGAAGTTGCCATCATAGCGTAACTGCGCGACAAAGCATACGTTTTTCAATTATGCTTTGCACCATCAACATTGCTGACACGAAGAGGGAAGGTCTTTGGCCCAAACAACAAATCTTTCCTGAGAATGAATTCACACAGCGAAAGTGCTCGAATGATTGAGGAGGGATCGTGGCCAGCTCTGCAATGTGAAATTTGAAGCCGAGAGCGTCTCGGTGCGTGCGAGCACCGTTGTTTCACGTGAAGTAAAGTTGTGTTTCAGCTATTTTCGGTATTATCTGTTGCTTCTGTTAACTGAAATTTTGTTACCCGTTTGAGAATTATTTTGGTAACTGGGTTGTAGCCGTATGTCCATGTCACGGAACCAAGGGTCATTTGCATTTCACTCCACAGACTCCAGACAGCGTTTACAAACCTACCTAACCAACACTTGGAGCTCTAAATATCTCATCGCATCTCTTCCTTTCGCTTTCATGCTTTATGCGTGCGTCCAGTTACACGCGGCCGGCGGCGTTTGTGAAGTAGTAGGCTGCTGCATGCTGAACCACCGAACAGCCAGCAGCGCTTCCAACACGTTGCCTGGCCCTCCGCTTTCCGGACACCATCACACAGAATACCATATTACCATCAACTTTGAATTGGATGGGAGCGGCGCTATGTCGTTGCGTCTCGTGCGGCGCCCCAAGCAATGCCGCTCGCCCCGACATTGCCGCCAGCACCGCAACTTTTGCCAGCAGCAAGCCAAATCAAATCTGCGATCCTCCTTAGCAACAGCAGCAGCTCGAGCTCGCACCGACTGCGGACGAGTCCGAGGCACAGCGCATTGCTGCCCCATGGGTCCTTCCAGCGCACCTCAACGTCACTTCGGACCTTTCGGCCACCAACGCGCAGCACCTTTGCCAGCTTCCCGCCATTCGCGAAGATTCGTCATCGTCCTCAGCTGTCGCTGCCGCGACCGACTTCCTTAGCCTTAGAGCTGCAACGGCAGGCCTTAGCGCAGCAGCAGCAGCAGCAGCAGGAGTCATTAGTCATTAGGAACAGGCCCCAGTTCAAGCATTCCAACGCGAAGCCGTCGAGCAGAGGCAAGTACGGCGGGACCTGCCGCCGACGGCACCGCTGCCGCCGCCGCCGCGTTGCACCTGGCAGGACGCGGTCGCCACAAGCAGTATTGGCGCCACCGACAGCCCCTTCGCCGCCACTGCCGGCGCCGCCACTGCCGTACCAGCCTCCGTACCATCTGCCACCGGGGGAGTTCCCGAAGTGTTGGGGCGCCTGCGACCCCGCACCCCGCGCGCGTTCCTGCCCGCCGACTTGCTGCGCGCGGCTCCTGCGGCAAACAACAACAACAACAACGATAACAGCAACAACAACAACAACGATAACAGCAACAACAGCATCCGCAACCACGCTGCAGCAGCGGCACTAAACGCCGGCGGCGGCGGCGTGGAGCCCAGTTACACACCGGGTTCGTCCACGCCAAGATCCGGTTCCGTCGGCAATGCACAGGTCAGCTACAGCTCCGCCGGCGGCGCCGCTACTGGCGGCACCGCCGCCGTCGCCGCCGCTGCCGGCGGTGGTGGCGATGACTTGTACTCCTTTGAAGCCACAGGTTCGGGACGGTCGGCGATGGAGTACCAAGCCATGACGTCAGCGCTGCCGCCGCCGTCGCCACGCCGCCGCCGCCACGACGGCGACGGCGGTGCCCGCGGGCTCAGAGGGCATCGCGGGGTTTACAGCACACGCGGACGATAACACGATACGGCAGGTGGGGGCTGGGAGGGAGGTGGTCGATTGCTGCGGGTTGTG